TATTAAAATTTACACGTAACTTTTGTAATAAATAACAAAATAAATAGTTCCCAAAACAACAAAAACCAGCAGTTGCCATTGAGTCAACTCTGATTCATGGCGACCCCACGTGTGTCAGAGGAGAACGGTGCTTCCTAGGATTTTCAATGGCTTATTTTTTGGACACAGACTGCCAGGCCTTTCTTCCAAGGCACCTCTGGATGGATTTAAACCCCCAACCTTTTGGTTAGCAGTTGAGCACACTGTTTGCACCACTCCGGGACTCAAATCAACAAAACCATCTACTTACTAGAAGGTGTCTCTTGATTGAAACTACACAATCACTGGATAGGACCTACAGAGATCACTGTGGATCTGTAAGAGCGTGGGGACAGCCCCATTGCAGCACTCATCAGACATGTACTCACTACGCTGGTGTGCAGGGCTTGCCATAATGATAGTGTTAATTCCAGGACCAAACACGTTGATGAAAGCACCAGTAGCAAGGGACTGGACTGTCATGTGTAAGAGGCAAGATCAGAGGCAGAGAGCATGACAATAGTGGGAGGGTGCCATTGGGAGACAGGGTAGCAGGAGAGTGAGGGGAAGGACCCAACTCCAAAGATCTCCAGACCTACTATGAAGCCTTTCTACAGTGGACAGGGCTGTTCTCAGTGACGCAGCAGGCTGCTGAGGCTGCATTTTACCACTGGGATAGGGAGACTGCAGAGAGCGTGGATAAAGACAAATAACAGACTGTTGAAGAGTCCTATCCTTCAGGCCATCTTCTTTGTCAAGTAATTTATAGCATATTTTATGATTCTAAACTATTATACTTGTAGTAGTTTTACACTTTAAAATAATATTCATACATCAGCAATGAGAAATCTGAAAGGGAAATTAGGGAAACAATTCCATTTATAAAATAGAATCAAAGAGAATAAAATACCTAGAAATAAATTTAACCAGGGGCGTGAAGGACTTATACAATGAAAATTATAAAACACTACTGAAAGAGATTAAAGAAGACTTAAATAAATGGAAAGATATTCCAGGTTTATGGATTGAAAGACTTAATATTCTTAAGATGTCAATACTACCCAAAGCTATCTATAGATTAACACAATCCCCATCGAAATTCTAACAGCTGTGTTTACAGAAATAGAAAAACCAATCCTCAACTTTATATGGAATGGCAAGAGGCCCTGAATAGCTAAAGCAATGTAGAAAGAGAAGAACAAAGTAGGAAGACTCACACTTCCTCATTTGAAAACATACTATACAGCTACAGTAATCAAAACAGTCTGGTACTGGTATAATAATAGACACATATACCAATTGAATAGAATTGAGAATCCAGAAATAAACCCACACATCTATGGTCAACTGATTTTTGACAAGTGTGCTAAGTCTATTCACCAAGGAAAGAAGAGTCTCTTCAATAAATGGTGTTGGGTAAACTGGATTTCCACATGCAGAAAAATGAAATAAGATCCATGCCTTGCACTATAAAAACAAATTCAAGGAGGCAGGGTCAAGATAGCAGAGTAGTCAGATGCTTCTGGTGGTCCCTCTTACAACAAATACCTGAAAAAACAAGTGAATCAACTATATATGACAATCTAGGAGCCCTGGACATCAAAGGCAAAGTTGAGGAATTGGACTGAATGGTGGGGGAGGGAGAGACGGTTCGGAAGCAGCGAGGAGTTACCAGACCTGACCCAGTGGGAGCTGGAACCCT